TTTTAGACACTTTATTTGGTATGCACTTCACTTGGGGGCTTAATGCTAATCTTCTGGAACTGAATGAGGGAAAAGATAAGACATTCTTTACACTGTTGGTTCTGTGTCAGGCAACCGGTTGGATGCTTTATGTTATCTCATGTAATCCACAGAGAGAGTGTCTAATTCAGAGTGGGGCCTGTGACCACAGGAGTGTAAAGTTCACCTCTGCTTTTAGGAGTGAACTGAATGGGATTCAGATAATACCCTCTCTTGGCAATGATCTTCTCTTATAATCAGCCCCTGACACATAGCTTAAGGTTACCAAAATGATAACTTGCATCAACTGATTATTTCTAGAATAACCAGTATTTCTTTCAGTATACCACATAGGAAATCACAAAGAGAAAATTTAGCTAAGGTTTTCAATGGAAAGCTATCATTATCTTGTTTTTCTAGCCATTAGGCATAAGCCAGGAATCAGGTTAGAAGTAGGAGCCATTTGGGCAGGGCTGAAAACTTTGATCAAGATTCTGCCAAGCAGTTTTTCACGACAACGACTCTGCTCCATCGATTTCAGTTAATCACAGCAGGGGACGAGGCCTCAGAAGAAGGGACTCTCCATCCTGTGGTCTCCAGTTAATGACTGCAGAAATGAAAAAAAGAAAGAGAATTTTGTGGGTAACAAAAGTGAGGGCAGGGTGTCAATATACATGGTTTTTGAGTTACAAAGATTTTGTTGGAATTTAGTTATTTTTTCTATTTATGACCAAAATGATGGGAGGAGAGGCTTTTGGGGGAAGTAAGATGAGGTAGATGATGCAACAGACCGTGCTGCAGGTACATTGCCTCCTGCAGGGTAGATTGTGTTTATACCTGGGCTGTGCCATACTTTGGATAATGATAATAATTTAATAACAGCAGGCTGCATATATATGGGGGGTTTAAATTTAATAAATCAGTTTTGAGGTAAGAATTTAAGAAGATACTTATCAAGCTAGAATTATTAGTTAGGTTATTACCTTCTGGCCAGGGAAGCTGGTTAGTCTGGGTATCTCAGCTGAGGGGAAGGGGCTGAAGAGGAGAGAAGAAGAAGGGCCTCTGGCTGTTGGTCACCTGGAAGCTGAAGGACTCAGGGGTGCCAGCTCCAGCCTTGGTCCTGACACTACTGGGCAGTGAGCAAAGCCAGTATGAGGTGCTGAGCCATGGACAGCAGGCCTGGGCTACATAGACCTCCGGAGTAGGCAGCACTGTGCTCCTGGTCTCCTGGAACTGATACTACTTACTCAGAAATGGAATGTCGGAGATCATTAGGTCAACTCCCTTACAGATGAGGAAACTGAGGCACAGAGAACTCAAGTGGCATCTTAAGTGAGTGCCAGAGCTAGGACCAAATTCATGGCTCTTGATTCCTGGCCCCATGATTTTAATGCCCTTGACTGACAGGCAGCTCTGCAAATGGAAGGGCATTGAAGGCTGGCAGGGAAGAATGAGAGAGCCAGGCAGATGGAAGAGAGTGGAAGGGGCAGCTGGTAGGAAATGGGAAGGCTGTAAAGAGCCAAAATATCCATTCCTCCTCTTGGCCATGTTCCAAGGAGAAACATAACTTCCAAATGTTCCTAATAGGGACATAAACAGTCACCCAGAAGAACCACACAAATAGATTAACCAAAGGCCATGAAATGTCATTTATGCTTAATGAGTAAGCACTCCTATTTATTCAGACTCCTAATGCAGCTCTTCAGCCTCATTCTTTCCTCTTAAGTCACTGCAGACCTTCCTTGCCATTACTCCCTTCTTATTTGTTGTGTTACTGTCTCTGTACCCACAGACAACTGTAGTTTAGAATCTATCTGCCCATTTCTCTCAGGTTCTGGGGTAAAGGAGAAAAAGATGATGAACTTGGGTGATGTGACTTGCCTGAAGTGTTTGATATTCTGAAAATGGGCTATAGGGAAGAAAAATGAACAAATTCCTAAATCAACATTATATTTATCCCTCTATTGTGAGGGGTACTGCCTCTACTTCATTTGTGAGCCATAATTATTTGTTGGTTTTAGCAAGACATTTCTCTGCCTGCTGATAAGGAAACAAAAAAGGCATTTACTGTGCTAGTCCTAGTCTAGAATGTGAACTGTAAGCTGTGTTCTTTTTTTTGTTTGTTTATTTGCTTTTAGTTTTAATCTATGATTAGAGGCTTAAAGGTTGAAGGGGACCGTGGAGGACTGCTAGCCTCCCCACCCTCTTTCATGCAGGGAGCCTCTTCCCAACAGCCCTGCCAGTGGTTCAGGTCCCTTCCCTCTGAATCCCCACAGGGAGTCACTTTTACCTTTGTGGAAGCACTTGCTTCATTTTGCCTTAAATTCCAGCTATTCGAGGACTTAAGTCTCAGCTGTGAGCCACTGTGGGCAGGGGGTAGGTGGGCAGGAATCCTATCTTATTCCTCTTTGATCTCCTTAACACAGAGCCTGGCCCACTCTCCATAAATATTTGAATGAGTGACAAGGCGTTATGAGTCTCCAGAGGCAGCCACAGTTGGATACCTCTAATAGCTAGAAAGTTCTTCCTAAAAGTAAGCAGAAATATGCCTCCCTGTGTGCCTTGGGTGGGAGGAGAATGTAGCTGGCAATGATGACAAAGGGCTGGGTGTCCAGAGGATATATCTGGGGACAGGGTAATGCCTTGCTCTTACTGCTTTTCTTGCATTCCTTCTGGCCAAAGTACACAAGGCCTTTCTCCAGGACAGGAAAACCCAGAAACCTAGATAGATCTGGATAAGGGACAGGGGCATGGATTCCTGGATTTGAATCCAGTTTGGGAGGACAGCTCTATCAGATACTGTCAATATCCCACCCATATGGCCTCATCCTGCCCTGGGGGTCATCTGCAGGTGATTCTCATACAAACTGACAGCTTCCTGCATTTATCTGCAGTGATCACTCTCTAACCTCAGAAGTGTACTTGGTCTGTTTGTGGATTCGGCTGGAAATGCCAGGAACTTACCCCAGGAAAGGACCTTCAACCAAAGATCTATGGGACTTAGTACATCAGAAACCCAGATTCCTCACCTCTCAGTGGGACAGCTCAGAGGTGTGTTTTATGGTTTCCCAAAAGGTCTCAACAGGAATTGAACCCCAGTTGCTCATAACACTTAACACATCCGTTATTCATTTCTCTTCCTTTCCTCTTTGACTTCCCCTCCCTTTCACTATGCTTCCTGGGACCATGCCCAAGTAAACTCTCTTCCCCAAATCTTTGTCTCAATGTCGCTTTGAGGAAAATCGAAAGTAAGACAATGACAGGAGCAGGAGATTTGAGGGACTCCCCATACTATTCTTCCCATAGAAAATAAAACTGTATTTCTCTTGAATTTAAAAAAAAAAAAGAAGATAAAACTGTCAAAATCAGTGTGTGCGTCCCCCTCCCCCTTCTTTCCCTCTATTTCTAAGTGCAGAGTGGTTTTTCGGTCAGTTCTATAAATAGAGGTTAATTTTCAGTAGAATTTGTGTCCTAACTCAGAAAACAAGGCTGAGAATGAATCCAACATCTTTAGAGAACAGTTATTTCCCATAACAAGAATCAGTAACATCCCAGTTCTCTTAGGAAAATGCACTGTATCAGAAAGGTCTCAGGCCAGACTAAAAAAAGATGATACATGGGGGTCATTAGACATCGGGATGGATTTGTGTGGAAGTTCTTCACTTAACCTTTTAAACTTCCACAGAGACATTTTAAATTAAGAGAGATCCTATCAACCTGGCCCAGGTTTTGGACAGAGTGCTTAGAGGTCAGGGACAGCTAAGACAAATGGGGACCATGAGGGAAGTGAGAGAGGAAAATAAAGAATCTTCGTTAAAACTACTGAGTATTAATAAACTATACCTGAGCTAGTAGAACCTAGAGAAAATGTTACTGAAGAATATGTATAATCATTTGAGAAGATTTGTAACAAAGAATGAAGGTGCCTCCCTGCTCCTCCTTCATGCAGACATTGTGTGCTTCAGAAAAGCTCCCTGTTCATGCCACATTACCTGATTGTTTTGACACCTCAGACAACTAACAGGAGATAGCAGTTAAAAATAGCCATAATCACTACTGTCTTATGTTTGTGGGGTTTTTCTTTTGTCTTGTTCCTTCCTGGAGCGTTTTTTGATGACCTAATAGGAAACAGCATACATGTTCATGAATTTTTAATTAGCAAGCAAAGATGGAAATGAATGTAAACAAAACAAGTAAATAAAACACAAGATGACAGGAGACAATGGGCCAAGAGAGCCCCTCCTGGATGCCTTTTAGGGTACCCACAGATGCCTTTTGGGATCAGGTGGGGAAATCCTCCTAAATAAAGCAGGAATAAGAAAGGGCTTCACCGACCTTATTATTAGCCTGGAAAAGTGATTGTCTTCAAATGCCGTCTTTATTTAAACTTTGTTTGATGACCAGTGCTTCGGCTCTTTTGGCAGGGCTAAAGAAGGTCGGAGGAAGGTGGGAACATCTTTGCTAGGTGATAGGAAGATGTAGAATTACCATGTCTCCTTTGCCCTCTTCGATGAGTACTTCTGCCCTGTTGTATGTAGGTGGCAGTAATGCCCTGGGTACAGCCCTCTCCTGAGCAGGAGAGATGTGTCTGCCTCTGTTAGCTGTGCCCTTATCTGAACCATCACTTCCAAAGAATGCTCTTGGGAGTGATATGCTATCCCCGGGAATGACCTCGTATAATGGTTGTGAGGCTTACATAAAGGTAGTCCATGTTAAGTGACTTGCTTAAAGTGCATTAACAGTTGGGCACAAAATCTATGCTGGTTCCCCACAATGAAAGGTCCCTGCTATCTCCTGAAATTGAATTGTAGAAAAAGATTTCCCTTGGGCCCAAAACAAATACACTAATATAGCCTGTACCAGCCTCTCTCACTCAGACTTTTTGTTTTGGGTAGCTCCCTTCCCCAGATATGTACCCCACAAAAGTGCTCATTGTATGTCTTTTGAGCTTGCCCCACTGAGCACTCTCCTTTGCTTTCTAGAATGCCTATGTCAACATCAACCGCATCATGTCTGTGGCATCCCGCCTCTCTGAGGCTGGCCATTATGCCACACAACAAATCAAGCAGATCTCCACCCAGCTAGACCAGGAGTGGAAGAGCTTTGCCGCTGCCCTAGATGAACGCAGCACCATCCTCGCCATGTCTGCTGTGTTCCACCAGAAGGCTGAGCAGGTAAGGCCCAAAAACCCACAGCAGCTGCTATTGGTGGGAAGGGTTGCACACAAGCAGGGGAAGGCTAGGTGGGAGCACACATACTCTATAGAGAGCTCTGCCTGTCTTTTTGAGACACTGAAGACCCTGCTGAGTTGTTGCAACAGTAACCTATGTTCTATCACTTTCATGACTCCTGTGTGCACAAAGAAACACTGGTAACTCTTGGTGACTTTGATTGTCACACAAATAAGAGGGCACCCAGAGTCTGTTTACATTTTGCTTGGTAGTGGTTGCGTGTGCATATGTGCATATGTTGACTGTCCACTTAGTATGCATTCGCTGAACACAGATCAAAGGGGCGAATGTAAAATGATCATTGAGGTGCCGAGAGCAGGGGGACACTAATTTTATATGAAGCATTTGCTAGGGATAATAGTAATATAATAATAATAATAATAAAATGGATCAAGATAATAATTACTTGTACTTACTAAGTGGCCAGGCATTGGCCAGTGACACTGCTGACCCATCGTACAAAGAGGAACACTGAAGCTCAGAGAGATTAAGTGATTGACCTGCCTAAGATCCCACTATGTATTGAAGCCTGTCTTGAACCAGCTTATAGAGAGACAGTTAAATTTTCAGAAATTTTGTGAGCTGATTATCACATTTAGCCATTGCTTAATTATGTAGGTTTATAATTAAATATGTTATGTTAAAAGCAAAGTTAATAAATACTCAAAAGTCATCATTTCCTGAGTATTTTGCCACATACTGTTATTACCTATGTTCTTGAGGTCATTTTTATGTATTTATTTTTTTCCGTGGTGGAAATACCATACAATTGTGTGCTGTGTATGGATCACCTCTTCCCAGCTCCATGTTGGTGATGTCACATTGGTAGCTTAAAACACACCATGGTAGGAGTTTCATATTATAGAAATTATCAGATGCTACAAACCAGGAATTGGTTTATTGCTTTATTATTACCCAGAGTCTTAAGAAATTGAGGGAGAAAGTGTTTTAAAATGCAGACTGAACTTAAAAATGTACTCTGTATATAGCTGTTACACTGTGAATAACACACAAACATCAAGGAAATATTCTTCCAATATTAAAAAAACTGTTATTTGGTTCAGCAAAGAAGTTGCTGACATCCTGGGTGAACAAGTATTATTCTGGCATAAGTATTCAGGTGTTTTTCATTTTTGTTTCACTCCTTAACATAGTGAATATATCAACCAGCATGTATGTCAGAACTATACATATTTGCCAGTTGCAACCATAGGTCAAAAGCATCCTGTGAGAATCAACTGGCTACATTAAATATATAATACAGAGCATTGTATATGTTATTATTCTCTGTAAGTTGTGGGATATACGTTCTTTATATCGGTAGAATTTGTAAATGCACTTACCTATGTATGTGTAATATACAGTCATAACATACATATATGTGCTGGTTGTTAAACATTTACTAACACACCACTGCTAACATCACACAATCTATGAATAGATAGGCTTTCAACTCAGGTGTGTTTTACACTAAGCCGGTGTTCTTAACCTCTACATTTCTTTCTTTGCATCACATTTGGGTAACATAGGCCAGGGAGAGTCAGACACCTGGTCACACCTTAAATCTCTCCCTCTGTTACCCTGTCTAGCATGGAAGGCAACACAGCATAATTAAGAGTCTAGACTTTAAGGCAAGACACATGGATTCTGATCCCAGCTCTACCATTCATTGACTCTTGGGCAAGTAATGACACCATATTTAGCTTGTTTCCTCATCTGCAATGTGGAGCTAATCATTAATGGCACAGGGCTATGCTAAGGATACAGCATGAGAGATGGAACATGTAAGGTGCCTCGTGTGCTTACTAAACAGTGGATGTTCCTACTATAGGTATTTGCTCCACATGCTATCCTGGTATCTTTTTATTTCCTCCGCTTGTGTCTGTTTCCACCTGAGAACTTCCCAAAGACTGACATAATACTTATGTCAAGCATAACCCTATACTTTGAGAGGAATTTGGCCATATCTTTTTGTTGCTGTTGTTAAGGTTGATGGTGGTAGGGACTGTTAGTGACTGGTTCATTCTCTGGTTCATGAGAATATTGATGTTCAATCTCCTGTTCTCTCTTCAACGTTATCACTTACATACTTTGTTCTAGGTTTTTGCAGATTGGTTAAGGAATACCCACTGCTTCTTTCTTTGTCTCTCTGGCATTATCTCCTTGAGGTGAACATTTTGTGGGATATGCTACAGGACCCCTGTTAGAATATTGCAGAGAAATCCCAAGGGCCTTGAAGGAGTGCTCCCTCATGATTGACACAAGAATGTCAAGTTGCTCCCAGGGTCATTTGTAAAGTATTTATTGGTGGAGCAAAGAAGCTTCTAAGATTTCAGCATGTACATGTTGTTTGATCTGATACTGGATGGCACCTGGCACTCCTCCAGAATTGCTAAGAAATGGCCTAATGTGTTACAAAACATACAGAATGAAAAGTCAACCATAACAATCAACAGGTCAGGGACTGAAAGCTGACAGTGACAACAAAACTAGAATGCAAGCAGTTGCAGTGCCGGAACTGAGGAAACAGGAGAAGTACATGTTTGTGTCATATTTCCTGACTTGGACTGGTTTGGATCAGAAGCAATTTCATTTGTATCTATTTTTTAATGTGATTTCCACAGGTATTACTAGTCCTTCAGGGACACTCATAAACCATGCTTCTTTTTAACTGGGAAAAAAAAAACTGTCTCAAGGCTATTTTTTTTTTATGTGTTTATTTAGGCAGCTCTTTATTGTCCTCATATGGGCTGTTCTTGGCAATGGGATAAAAAGATATTTAGGCAATTAATTTAAATGGAGCTGTGCACCCAGGCGAGGGGAATCATAGACAGAACAATTCCAGACTGTTGGGTGAATCATTTGCATTTTAAAGGTGCATTTTTCCACCCTATAAATCTGAGTGATTTCAGTTAGCTCACCCTTTGTGCATGAAGACCCATAGTCTTCCATAGTTGTTAATTTTAATTTTTAAATAATTTGATGTCTGTCAAGATCTATGTCTACATATCCATGGATGCAGTAGGTGTAGCACAGTCTTTCCCCCTAGGCTGCCTCTCTTGCTTCCACCCCTCAGGGGACTGACCCAATAGTGGGAGTCCTGTTGAGGACAGTCTCCATCACCTGTGGGAATGGTCTCTGCAAGTTCCCTGGAGTTCCTGATGGTCTTGTGTGAGGTCTTTTTTGCTTGTCTTCACAACTGGATGTACACACTGTAAAGCACAGGTGTGGAACATCTTACGTTACACACAGCCCTTCACGTATACCTGTGAGTATGCATGGGACAGGAAGCGTAATGTATTCGTGGAATGGGGTGAGCTGTTTCCATACCTGGACATTACAGTTTGTGTGTAGCCACAACCTATTAAACATCTGACGACTCACCTGCCTCCTACAGTTTCATAGTAGTTTTTTTTTTTTTTGAGACGGAGTCTTGCTCTGTCACCAGGCTGGAGTGCGGTGGCGCAGTCTCAGTTCACTGCAACCTCCGCCTCCTGGGTTCAAACGATTCTTCCGCCTCAGCCTCCTGAGTAGCTGGTACCACAGGCATGTGCCACTACACCTGGCACATTTTTGTATTTTTAGCAGAGACAGGGTTTCACCATGTTGGCCAGGATGGTCTCGATCTCTTGACCTCGTGATCCACTTGCCTTGGCCTCCCAAAGTGCTGGGATTACAGGCATAAGCCACCATGCCCAGCCTCATAATAGTCATTTTTGTGGAGACTATACTTCCTAAATGGGTGCCTGGGTCTGATTTCTTACTACAGGTTAGTGTTTGTAGAATTAGAAAACTCTACCCTCTGCAGTGTTCTCCGAAGGCTTTCAGACATCTTGATGTTTCTTCCCAAGTTATCTGACCCTCTCTCCATAATCCACCCAACTCCCACCCTCAGTGCTCCCCCACTGACCCACCCGACATCTCCTTCCAGTTCCTGTCTGGAGTGGACGCCTGGTGCAAGATGTGCAGTGAAGGTGGTCTGCCATCTGAGATGCAGGACCTGGAGCTGGCAATCCACCACCACCAGACCTTGTATGAGCAGGTGACCCAAGCCTACACAGAGGTGAGAATGGAGCAGGGCAGCCATGGGTCTTGCATATGTCTGCATGTGGGTGGGTGATGAGGGCACTGACCTGCACACTGTGAAATAGCCTGGGTGGGACTAAGAAGAAGAGAGGCTGTTTTTCTTTTTTTGGTGACATCTATAAGAACCTTGATCTGTGAACTATGGTGTCTCCAGCCAGGAAACAGAAAAAAATTGGGGCCATTATTAGGCACCACCTTGTTGCACTCACCTTCATTCTCTCCCTCCCTCTCTTCCTCCCTCCATCCCTCCCTCCCTTCATATATACATATATACATATATATACACTTGCCTCATCCTGTGTGTGAAGATTGGACTTTCTCCTCTTGGGGGAGGAATAAAAGGAAATGAAGCTGTGCTTATCTGGAATTTGCTTTCTGGTTGGTGAATGGACATGTTCGCACTAGCCCTGCCACCTTTTTATGAAACAGCTCGTTAAAAAATATTAATTTTAATACTGGAAGATCCAGAGGAAATCACATAGGGTGGAGATAAGTGTTTGCAGGAGCAAGAAGCTACCATGGATATGAAGGACAATTACTCTTCCATTGACAAAATCAAAGGCAGGGGGATTACTGCAAAGTTAAGAAAGGGGGTGGGGGAACCTCTTAACAGTCCTCTCAAAGTAAAAGGAAACAGCTATGTATGTATATCTGTGTAGATATACACAAGTTAGTAGGTTTGTTAACTGGCATGAATTCTGAGAGAGGGGACTGAGAGATGGAGGGAGATAGGCTGATTAGGGAAGCTGGATGAGGAGAAGAAGTGAATTCACATCCAGCCATGTGTTTCCTCTGGGGCAGGATTAGTTAGAAGAGTGTTAAAATGGCTTCCTGGACTACCTGCATCAGACTCACCTGATACAGATTCCTGGGTCTCGCCCCAGACTGAATCAGAATGTTGAGAAGTGAGATTAGGAACCTGCATTTTAAAAACTATTACCCTTGGTGAGTATGATGCACATTGAAGTCTAAGAACCAATGGCTTCTAGGTAAGAGTAAGGGTTCTTGTCATAGTCAAACTGAGTTTGAATCCTGGCTGTCCTGTTTACTAGCTGTGTGACCTCAGGCAAGTTACTTAACCACTTTGAACCTCGTTTCATCTGTGAAATGAAAGTGGTAACACCTGCCTCATAGGCTAGTGTTGAGGTTATAAAGGTAATACATGACAATTCACAATTGCAAAAATATGGAACCAGCCTAAAAGCCCATCAACCAACAACTGGAGAAAGAAAATGTATACATACACCATGGAATACTACTCAGCCATAAAAAGGAACAAAATAATGGCATTCACAGCAACCTGGATGGAGTTGGAGACCATTATTCTAAATGAAGTAACTTAGGAATGGAAAACCAAGTATGGCATATTCTCACTTATAAGTGGGAACTAAGCTGTGAGGACACAAAGACATAAGCATGATCTAGTGGACTTTGGGAAGGTAGGGGGAACACATTAGGTATAGTGCACACTGTTTGGATGATGGGTCTATCAAAATCTAAGAAATCACTACTAAAGGACATATCCATCTAACCAAACACCACCTGTTCCCCAAAACTATTTAAATAAATAAAAACATCGTACCCAACAAAAAATTAAAACAATGAAAATGAAGGTGATGTATGTAATGCACTTGGCCCAGTGTCTGACAGCAATAAGTACCAAAAAATGGTAATGTCTTCTGTCATTGTAGAAAGCACAACGGAGGACTTATGAGCCAAATCTGATTTCATCAGCTGTGATCCATATGGCCCAATGCTTTATCACTTAGAATTGTACCTCTGCCCATGTGTCAAGAATCTTTAAATTTACTCCTTGCAAAATACAAATACAGAGAGTACAAATAAGATTAATATTATACTTTCACATATGTGAGGTGTGGGTATAATTATACATATAGATATAATATTTCTCTCAATTAATTATCAGGCCCTAGCATTGTGAGACTTAAACCCTCCCTCCAAGCCCGCCTCAGAGGCCAGTGAGCTGTCCCTGCTTCCTACAGATATGGAGACTGAGGCAGAGGATTGGAGCTCAATCAGGGTGGATTTCTAGGATTTGGGTCTCCATCTCTAACCACCCTGCCCTGGATAGTGTCAAAAGGCAGCATTTGCTCAGAATTTCAGGAAGAGAGCTCTCCTGGGTTTAGCCAAAGACAAGGATGTTTGTCTTATTCATGACTCTGGTGGGCATCACCTCTGCATTGTTTATAAGTCACTTCCGCTACCCTACTCCCCTGGCAGTCAATTATGGGAGATGGGGATAGGGGGATTGGGTGGGTAGTAGTGGTTTACTCTCCTGGCCTCTGTTGCTTTCTATCCCAGCACCCCTTTACCCACCCAGCCTTGAAAGCATTTCTGTGACCCCATGGGCAGGAGTAACAGTTGCTTCTGTAATCCTTGACCCCTAGCTATGCTATCATCAGGGGCCAAAGGAGGCGTGAGGGGAAGATGCAAACCTGGCAAACAGCTTCATTGTCAGAGGTGTGGCGATAGAAGCACATCTCATTCCTTACCTTGCTGGTGGGATAAAAGACCATTTTCTTCTTCAAAGGCCTTCTTTTGGGGAAGACTCCACACCGACTTTGACTTAATTGGTAACCGAATTTGGAGACTCAAAATTTTTATCAATTCCCAGTTATCCCTGTTTTAAATTAAAAAGATACATGTTCTGTTGGGTACCCTGCCAAGCACAGAAGGGCCACGGGTGTTGATTGTATGATGCCACCTTCCAGAATTATTGATGCCTGTGATTGTGCCAGGACTCCAATGAGAAGAATGGCAGAGAGTCTCATCTCACTTTTCTCAGACTGAGGGCGAGTCAACCTAGGAATGTGGATGGTGTGTCCACAGTCTAAGTGTCCCAGGCTTTCTCTGCATGTTCTAGAAAAATGGGGATTTTACTGTTTTTTTCAGGAGAAAGAAGGGGTATAGAGTAAGACCAAAATATTTCAAAAGAATATAGACAAAATAAAGAAAATGGGAGAGAGATGATGGTGATGATGGTTTTATTAGTCTGTTCTCATGCCACTAATAAAGACATATGTGAGACTGGGTGATTTATAAAAAAAAGAAAAAAAAAGAAGTTTGATGGACCAACAGTTTCACATGGCCAAGGAGGCCTCACAGTCATGGCAGGGTGAAGGAGGAGCAAAGTCATGTCTTATTTGATGGTAGTCAAAAGAGTGTGCGCAGGGGAATTGCCCTTTTATAAAACCATCAGATCGCATGAGACTTATTCACTAACATGAGAACAGCATGGGAAAAAGCCCCCAGGATTCAATTACCTCCCACTAGCTTTCTCCCACAACATGTGGAGATTATGGGAACTACAATTCAAGATGAGACTTTGGTGGGGGTACAGACAAACCATATCAATGGTGATGATGATGAAGATAAAATTGGTAGGCAGTATCACATGCCAGGCCCTATTCTAAAGACTCCATGTGTGTTAACTCATTTAATCCTCACCATGACTTTATGAAGTACGTACATAATTATCCCTCTTTTACAGACATGGAAACTGAGGACCAAGGGGGTTAAATAACTTGCCTCTTGTCACACATCTAGAAGTTTGGAGCCAGATAGAGGAAATTGGGAAAGAAAGAGCAGGAGAGGGTTATGGTGGCAACTTATATTGACTTCATTTCTGAAATGAAGTTATACTATCTCACCTGGTGTGAGTCAGTGCGTACTGTGTGCCAGACACTGTTTTGCGCACTGGGGGGAGAGCAGCAAGCAGGCAGGGTCCCTGCCCTCACAGAGCTGAAATTCAGGAAGGGAGAGAGTCTCACAGACAACTGTCCAGCACTCCAGCAACTCCCCTATCCCAGGATTCCAGCTGCTCTGCCCTCCACCAGGCTGGAGGCTGGGCCCTATGGAAACTCTGGCTGGTTAGTTGTCTGGGTGTGGGAGGCCTGAGATTCTCAGAAGGCCTAGTCAAGGACCCTCAGGCAGACTCTTCCTGTTTCTCTCTGTGCCCTGCCTGTCACTCTTTTCCCTTGATCCAAACTTCTCTCTTTCCTGCAGGTCAGCCAGGATGGCAAAGCTCTGCTAGATGTGCTGCAGCGGCCCCTGAGCCCTGGGAACTCCGAATCCCTCACAGCCACAGCCAACTACTCCAAAGCAGTGCACCAGGTGCTGGACGTGGTGCATGAGGTGTTACACCACCAGCGACGACTGGAGAGCATCTGGCAGCACCGCAAGGTGCGACTCCACCAGCGGCTGCAGCTCTGTGTCTTCCAGCAGGATGTACAGCAGGTAACAGGTTCAGAGTCCCAGTGCCTATCATCCATTCTAGAACCCAGATTTATAGAGGGAAAAATGGAATTCAGCTCTCAACTGCTCCATAGAACCCCACCAAAACACAAAACAAAAACTGGACCTGTGAATTACATGTTTCTTGCCTAAGTGACTTTATAGACTTGCCTTCTCACCATGTAGTGTTGGAAAGGGAGATTCAGTCTCAGGAACTGCAATTCCTTATAGTCATATGGCACATTTTTCTTTTGTTTTGTTTTGTTTTTTGGAGACAGAGTCTCGCTCTGTTGCCCAGGCTGGAGTGCAATGGTATGATCTTGGCTCACTGCAACCTCCACTTTCTGGGATCAAGCAATTCTTGTGCCTCAGCCTCCCAAGTAGCTGGGATAATAGGTTGTGCCACCACACTAGCTAATTTTTGTATTTTTGTGAAGACGAGGTTTTACCATGTTGGCCAGGCTGGTCTCGAGCTCCTGACCTCATGTGGCCTGCCCTCTTTGGCCTCCCAAAGTGTCAGTATAGGTGAGGGTTAGGGTTAGGGCCAATATGGCACATTTTTCTTTTGGTGAGCTTGATCCACACTCAGGCGATGATTGCTAGACAGCCCAGGGGTACAGGGCTATCCGAGCACTGTCAGGCTTAGACCCCACATATGGTCCATCTGGAATGCAGGTGGCCTGCCAGAGTGGGAGTGGAGTGGGGTACAGGGACCTTCAGAGGATTCCTTGACAAGATTGGACCAGGAAAATCAGATTTAAAACATAGGCTGTTGTTCAGTGTATGTTTCATGATTACAGGTTATTTCTGACTTTATGTAATTTTTTTTGTATTACGACATTAGTATTGGCTTTTTCCTTTACCACTAATAATAAAGATATGGTTTGTTTCTGACCACAAAAGGAGAGTCTTACTATAAATGCCCTTTCAGATGAAATTACTCATTCTTTCCTCCTTGTACTTTCTCTGTTTCTGTCTTCTGGGGGACCCTGGGACCTTTGCTGGAGGACTCATACACTGGGTTGGGGGAGCTGGTTGGGAGATGGGTACTGAGATCGAGGCTCACTGTCATCTCCCTCTTAGTTCACCATGGGAGAACTAAGGATGGGCTTAGTTGTCCTAGGATGGGCTCTGCAGAGCTGCAGAGGAGCTGCTGGGGTGGACGCACTTGTGTTCAAACACTTGCTTGACTTTTCTGTGGCTACCATGCAACTCCAAGATTGTACATATAAAATAATAATTCACTCTTCTTTCATTCTTTTGTGGTATCAACCAGGTATAATCCAAGTATAATCTAATATATTTACTGTATTATATAATAAAACATAATCCACTGTATATTTCCAGTGTAGTGAAATACACATGGAAAATTGAGAGCAACTGTACATGTCTTTGGAGTATTGGTTCCTTTCACAGCTGTCATTAGAGGAGCCTCTGGTGCTGGCTGCCTGAAGTAGTCAGGCAGAGTGGAGAGAGTTGGCATTCTTATCTCACTGACTGTGACAGCCTGTGAATAGGAGGATAGTCACTGTGCAATCAGTCCCAGGAGCAGATGGGCCTTCCGGTATGTCCCCACTTCTTGGGCTGCCATAACTCCTTTGCAGAGTCCTCTTCTGACTGGAGCATCAATTGAGTCATCAGAGGAAATACCTCGATCCCAGGAGAAATGGGCACTACTGGCGTGCTGGCTGCAGTTCTGAAGCCCTCGTGGGGCTTGCTGGGAGTGGAGAGGTAAATGAATCAGTTGCCTGCTCCTGCCATCTGGAGCTATCCTGATGAATACATCATCCCTGAGCACAGGAGACCACAGGAGGCAGTCTGTGATTGAGACAGAGTGAGGTGCCAGCCTCTGAAGGCACAAAGGAGAGGCGTTGCTATTTCAGTGAATTCTCCATGACTCTCAGAGATGATCTGGACCATGAATTGTGCTGTATCCATGGTGTCCTCTTTACCCTTGTGCTGATTTTACAGCTGTTGTCCTAGAATGGGCTCTGGAGAGCTGCAGAGGGGCTGCCAGGAGGGTAGGTGAAAGGCCTTCCCAAGCGGAGGGTGCATTCCAGACTTCAACCATCAGGGAACTGCTGTGATCTGACTTTTCTGTGGCCACCACGACATCTGAACTAAAGCTAAGAAAAAGTATAAAACCACACCTGTGGCTGTTCTACATCATGCTTTTAAAAATGAGAGCCTTTCTGAAATGAAGACCCTATCAGTTCATTACTTTCTTGTTTGTAAATCCATGAGCATGGAATGTTTTTCCATTTGTATGTGTCCTCTCTTATTTCCTTGAGCAGTGGTTTATAGTTCTCCTAGAAGAGGTCCTTCATGTCCCTTGTAAGTTGTATTTCTAGGTATTTTATTCTCTTTGTAGCAATTGTGAATGGGAGTTCACTCATGATTTGGCTGTCTATTATTGGTTTATAGGAATGCTTCTTATTTTTGTACATTGATTTTGTATCCTGAGACTTGCTGAAGTTGCTTATCAACTTAAAGAGATTTTGGGCTGAGACAATGGGGTTTTCTAAATATACAATCATGTCATCTGCAAACAGAGACTATTTGACTTCCTCTCTTCCTATTTAAATACCTTTTATTTCTTTCTCTTGCCTGATTGCCCTGGCCAGAACTTCCAATACTGTGTTGAATAGGAGTGGTGAGGGAGGGCATCCTTGTCTTGTGCCGGTTTTCAAACGGAATGCTTCCAGATTTTGCCCATTCAGTATGATATTAGCTGTGGGTTTGTCATAAATAGCTCTTATTATTTTGAGATAGGTCCCATCAATACCTAGTTTATTAAGAGTTTTTAGCATGAATGGGTGTTGAATTTTATCAAAGGCCTTTTCTGCATCTGTTGAGGTAATCATGTGGTTTTTGTCATTGGTTTTGTTTATGTTATACATTAAGTTTATTGATTTGCATATGCTGAACCAGCCTTGCATCCCAAGGATGAAGCCGACTTAATCATGGTAGATAAGTTTTCTGATGTCCTCCTGGATTTTGTTGGCCAGTGTTTTATCGAGGATTTTCGCATTGATGTTCATTAGTGATATTGGCCTGAAATTTTCTTCTTCAGTTGTGTCTCTGCTAGGTTTTGGTTTCAGGATGCTGCTGGCCTCATAAAATGAGTTAGGGAGGAGTCCCTCTTTTTCCATTGTTTGGAGTAGTTTCAGAAGGAATGGTACCAGCTCCTCTTTGTACCTCTGATAGAATTTGACTGTGAATCCATCTGGTCCTGGGCTTTTTTTGGTTGGTAGGCTATTAATTATTATCTTAATTTTAGAACTTGTTATTGGTCTATTCAGGGATTTGACTTCTTCCTGGTTTAGGTGTATGCATCCAGGAATTTATCCATTTCTTCTAGATTTTCTAGTTTACTTGCATTAGAGGTATTTGTGGTATTCTCTGATGGTAGTTTATATTTCTGTGAGATCAGTGGTGATATCCCCTTTATCCTTTTTCATTGTGTCTATTGTGTCTTCTCTCTTTTCTTCTTTATTAGTCTAGCTAGAGTTCTATCTATTTTGTTAATCTTTTCAAAAAACCAGCTCCTGGATTCATTGATTTTTTTTGAAGGATTTTTGTGTCTCTATCCCCTTCAGTTCTACTCTGATCTTAGTTATTTCTTGTCTTCTGCCAGTTTTGAATTTGTTTGCTCTTGCTTCTCTAGTTCTTTTAATTGTGATGTTAGAGTGTTAATTTTAGATCTTTCCACTTTCTCCCGTGGGCATTTAGTGCAATAAATTTCCCTCTAAACACTGTTTTGGCTGTGTCCCAGAGATTCTGGTACATTGTGTCTTTGTTCTCATTAGTTTCAAAGAACTTATTTATTTCTGCCTTAATTCTGTTATTTACCCAGTAGTCACTCAGGAGCACGTTGCTCAGTTTCAATGTAGTTGTGGGGTTTCTGAGTGAGTTTCTTAATCCTGAGTTCTAATTTGGTTGAATTGTGGTCTGAGAGACTGTTTGTCATGATTTCTGTTCTTGTACATTTGCTGAGGAGTGTTTTACCTCCAATTAAGTGGTCAATTGTAGAATAAGTGTGATGTGACGCTGAGAAGAATGTATATTCTGTTGATTTATGGTGGAGAGTTCTGTAGATGTCTACTGGGTCTGCTTGGTCCAGAGCTGAGTTCGAGTCCTGAATATCCTTGTTAATTTTCTGTCTCATTGATCTGTCTAATATTGACAGTGGGGTATTAAAATCTCCTGCTATCATTGTGTGGGAATCTAAGTCTCTTTGTAGGTCTCTAAGAACTTGCTTTATGAATCTGGGTGCTCCTGTATTGGATGCAAGGAATCCCAATGCACCATCTGTTTTTCATTCTCCCCTAACTCCTCTATCTTCCCATGTATGTAAAAGGACTACTTCTAGGCCCAGATAGACCTGAATTGTGGAGGAAAGAACAAGGAGTCACTAGATTCTTGCTCTTTCTGGGAGATGTGAATTTCATTCTATCTTTCCTTAGCTAGAGCAACTGTTTTCAGAGCATCCCCTGCAGGCAGGCCACCTTGGACTGCCTCCCCTTCTTCATCACTCTGTATTTTTCTCAAGAATGAGTCTATCTGACAGCAAATCCAAGGGACAACACTCTTTGCTAGATAGTAGGTAGGATTTGCAAATAAAACACAAACACAGGAATAATCTCCATTGATTGTTTAAATCATATAATTCCATATTTTTGTCTTTTAGTTTGACTTTAACCCTCCCACCCACAACCTCTATTTTTTTTTTTTTTTCTGAGACAGAGTTTCACTCTTGTTATCCAGGCTGGAGTGCAATGGCGCAATCTCAGCTCACTGCAGCCTCTGCCTCCTGGGTTCAAGCAATTCTCCTGCCTCAGCCTCCCAAGTAGCTGGGACTACAGGTATGCGCCACCATGCCCAGCTAATTTTTGTATTTTTAGTAGAGACGGGGTTTCACCATGTTGACCAGGATGGTCTCGAATTCTTGACCTCGTGATCCACCCGCCTCGGCCTCCCAAAGTGCTGGGATTATAGGTGTG